CCAAGCTCTACCCAGGGGATAGGTAAAAGAGAGTAACTCAACTGATAGCATGATATACTGTTGCTATGATTAAATTGCTTTGTTATACAACTTTCCAAAAATTCACTAGCTATTTGAGTATTTTCTTTTGTGAGTTCTCTCTTCATTTCTTTTTTTGTCTATTCATAATTTCATATAATGATTTGTAAGGGCTTTTCATTACATGAAATAAGCTAGCCTTTTATTATATTTACAAAGATTTCTTAGCATTTTGCCTTTTACCAAATCCTGGCCATGGTTATTTGGTTCAGGCCAATGAAACATGAGAATAGTTTTGGTAGGAGTTTCTGAGAAAGAAAATGTTCTCTCTTTTCTGAGAGAATGTCCAAGGACTTTCTAGAAGTGACTCCTGGGACAAGGAGAAAAAACATGTGGCTGCTGAAATCCTGAGCAGCCACTGTGCAACCACCAGGGGGAGCCACACTTAGAATGAAGATGATCCAAAAGAAAGACTAATAAATACTAGTAGGCTTCCTGCTTTATGAACAAAATCCCTGCTATATTCTATGCCAGTGAAAATTATGTAATTCCTCTATTACTGGAATGAGAAGAAAGAAGAAAAGAAGGCACGAGCTACAGTGAGAAGGGTACATGCTATAGGTTTTAATATCAGTCACAATAAATCAACCCTTTTATGCAAGGTCGGAGCAAGCATCTCCTGAATTCAGAGAATAAGTCAGACTGCTTTTCAACGGAATGCCAGCATGAGATCGCCTAAACAGTGCTTTCTGTTGGAGAAACTTGGAAATCTTTTAGGATCATCAAAATCTACCCTTCATGTGGGTCTTTTTCATTCATTTTGACTAGCGTGTGATCTGTTTCATGGAACTCTTCTACAGCTAGCTGCCCTCCGATGGCCTTCTCGGGAACCGAAGCCCGAGTTCCAGCTGAACGCTTGTGCAGACATGAACCCTGCGGCAGGGAACCTTGAAGAAATGGGAGTGCACGGGCGGAAAAGGGGACAGAGCACAGACACGGCAGTGACACTGCTTACAATGCCTTCCAGGTGGCCAAGCCCTTTCCTGCCGCAGCCTCTTTACTCAGGTTATTTCCCTCTGCAAATCTCCTCTCCCTGAAGTTGTCCTGGAGTCCGTGCCTTCTCTTTAGCTCTCAGCTTGAGGCCACCTCCTCAGAGAAGTCTTCCCTGACCAGCCAGTCTTAAAATACATTCCCCTTGTCCTCTGAATGCCCCAATCAGCTCTTCCTTTCCTTCATGACTGTGACACAATTTGTAATTGTTGACTTACTTTTATCTCACTGAGGACAAAATGATTTCTATTATACTCATCACTCTATTTCCAAAGAGTGCTTAGCAATAAACACCATTTTTTTTGAATGGACACTTATCAGCTCTAATAAACAAAATATCCGTAAAAATATAAAAAGGCCCTTCAGACTGCTTTATATACAAGGGGGGCACAGGAATCCTAGAGTTTTTAAGTGCTCACTTGAAAGAAAGAGACAGCTAGCTTTTCCTGTTACACAACTGTGAAGATGTGCCAAGCAAATCACAAAACGTTCAAGAAGAAACACACGGCAGCCGCCACACAGCTCTCAAGTCTCAACGGAATTTCAAAACCAACGTTCATAATTCTGGAGCAATCTAGCGGGAACAAGCATCACCTTGAAAACATGTTGCCAGGTTGCCAATGAGTAACATACTGCATGAGTGTCTGGTTTTCAGTGAGTATTCCTTTTACATGGAAAGAATTTCTCGAAAAGTGTAAAATCTTCACCTTAAACAAGCCGGTCCTGTTATAGCTATAAAAATGTGGATATCTTAAAGTAAGTGCCTACATTCCTGTTCAGCTACAGGGCTTTTCACGAAAGTACTGCCCTTTCGACAAAAGCCAACACCTCAGTGTCACTGCATCTTCTCAAGTGATCAAGGAAAACGTGACAATGCCTCCGCATTCTCTCTCTCTAAGTCACTGAGACTAAGAAAGAGCCCATAAAGCCTACTGTGCATTTTTCCTTTTCCCAGTGGGCCTGTGAAAATTATGTAATTCCTCTATTACTGGAATGAGAAGAAAGAAGAAAAGAAGAAACTAGGTTGGGGAATTCTTTCAAATATACAAATACTGTCTACTGGTTCTCAAATGAACAAACGTCAGATTCCGATTACTGTATAAGAAACCAACTCTTGGGTAGATTTCTTAACTGAACTAGCCATTCAAACTCATCGGCCACAGAAAACATGATACGATACATCAATTAATGTACCTTTGGCTCGAACTCAGCATCTCCCGTGCACTTCTCTCCGTGAGAGGCGACCTGTTTTCCCACAGGGGCAGAAAACCCTTGCTTCTTTTCCATACCTTTACGGACTCCACTGTGTCACTATGTTTGGCAAAAGGAGCTACGCAGCCCTATCTGGTTTGGCTCGGTGGGTAGAGCGTCAGCCTGCGGACTGAAAGGTCCCAGGTTCTATTCCGGTCAAGGGCATGTACCTTGGTTGCGGGCACATCCCCAGTAGGAGGGTGTGCAGGAGGGCAGCTGATCGATGTTCCTCCTCTCATTGAATGTTTCTAACTCTCTATCCCTCTCCCCTTCCCGCTCTGTGAAAAATCAATAAAATATATTTTAAAAAAAAAAGGAGCTACACAGCCCCAAAGAGTCTCAGAGTTTCCATGTCTGTAAAGGTTTATTCCCTACATAAAAGCCATGAAACCAGTTTCCTAGGATCATGGCACTCAGGAATGTATTTACTTGACCAGAGTATGACCACTATAGACATAGCCCTTTGACTTACTCATCAGATAATAATGATAGAAAACCATCTTATTACTAGGTAACTGCTTTAAATTCTGGATTTTCTTCCTCTACCAAATTAGTCCACAGATTGCTCACTGAGCTTTAAGTTACTGTCATCTACAGAGAACCCTATGCCAGGGTACAGTGTTATAGCCAATATTCATGCTTTCCCTCTTGACCTACGTGGGTCACCCCCTTGATGTGATCTGCTTTGGTCCATAGGATATAAATGCATGTGACCTGCCCTAACCGGTTTGGCTCAGTGGGTAGAGCATCGGCTTGTGGACAGAAGGGTTCCAGGTTCGATTCCGGTCAAGGGCATGTACCTTGGTTGCGGGCACAGCCCCAGTAGGAGGTGTGCAGGAGGCAGCTGATCTATGTTTCTAGCTCTCTATCCCTCTCCCTTCCTCTCTGTAAAAAAATCAATAAAATATACTTAAAAAAAATAAATGCATGTGACCCGAGAAGTGTGGGACATGCTTGTGTGGTCGGCCTTGCCCTTAGGCTTTTGCTAGTAACATGAGAAGAACATGCCCAGGGGTCCACCGACTTTAGAAAAAATTAGCAACATGTGAAGCCAACTTATATCCAACCCCTGGCCTGGATGGGGTTAGCCAAGAATGGCCAAACCCCAGGTGCACGAGGAAGAGATAAATTCTGACTGCTACATCCATTACGTGTCAGTGTGGTAAACTAAATATTGTCCCCTGAAAGGCAGCTACCTCTTAACCCCTGGAACCTACACATGTTACCTCATGTGGCAAAAAAGGACTTTGCAGACATGATTGGGTTAAGGATCTTGAGATGGGTAGATTACCCGAATTATCTGGTTGGACCTTCAAGGCGATCACATATACACACTCAGGAGAGGGAGGCAGTGGGAGATGCGAAGACCGAAGGGAAGGCACTGCCCCTGGAGGAAGCGATTGGAGCCACAGGCCATGGAATCTGGCAGCTTCCAGAAGCTGGAAGAGCAAGGAAGGGATTTTTCTCTGGATCCACAGGGGGTGGCCTGGGACAACACCTTGACTTTGGCCCAGAGGAACTGATTTCAGACTTCTGGCCTCCAGAGCTGTGTCAGAATAAATGTCTGGTGTTTTAAGCCACCAAGTTTGTGATACTTTTAAAAAATATGTATTTTTTTTAATTGATTTCAGAGAGGAAGGGAGAGAAAGAGAGAGATTGAAACATCAATGATGACAGAGAATCACTGATCAGCTGCCTCCTGCATGCCCCCTATTGGGGATTGAGCCTGCAACCCGGGCATGTGCCCTTGACGGAATCAAACCCGGGACCCTTCAGTCCGCAGGCTGATGCTC